GTGAAGACATTGGGCAAAGTAGAAAACACACAGTAGAAGAAACGAGAGTAGAAAAGGAAGGAAAAGTTCAAAAAATAAAAATAAAGTGGTAGAACAGGGCTTCAGTGTGAATATGTGAGAGGACTACTCCTTGTTTGGGTATAGTCTCATGAATTTAGATTGGGGACAACACACAAGTTTGGGCAGGTTAACTTCAGAATGGCCCCTGACTTGGAAGGGGTGAAAAATATCTCGTGTTCTCCTTGCCAAGATGCGTGCCTGCAGGTTTTACTCTTCCTTAGTGGCCACTTTTTTCTAATTGACACAAATGTGCCATAGGAGTCACATCAGACCTGAGGTAGGGTCACTTCCTTCCTACATCTGCCCTTTTTGTTCAGAGAGGATGTGGCAGTGCAGTGCTGTGTATAAACTGCTGGCACAGAGGTACACAGATGTCTGGTTCGTGCTGGCAGACTCCAGAATCAGGAAGAAATGCTCCCTCTTCTTCCTAGATACACTGTACCCCTCGGAGACATCTCCTTTCTCATTATTGTCAACATCATATGAGAAGTAGACCAGTCGTAGCCCCAGACCTGGGTCCTGTCGATACCAGAACATTCTTTCATGGTTCATATCCTGTAAACATTCCAGCGAAACTTTATCTTTCATCTTTTTGACTAGGTATCTTTGGGTCTGAGTTACTTTTGCATCCAGGAGACCTGTGAGAGAAGGATAGAGGAAGTAGAAAAAGAGGTCACCAGGAAGCCTGAGGAAGAAAAAATCGTGCTTGTATCCAAAGCCTAGAAATTGTAGGAGGGGAGTTGCCACCAACTCCCTGACTCACCAACTCCCAGGAAACAGAGGACCACACCACAGAGGAGCCTGAATCCCATGGTTGTTTTGAGGAAAGAATGGTCTTCTCCCAGTGCCGGGCTGCAGATTGGTTGTCTATGATGTCATTGTCCCTGCCCACACTCATGATCCCTCAGCCGTCTAGAGGTGCTAGAGAGTGAAGGGAGTATCATGGGAGTATTGGTGTTTGTGTGTATGTGCGTGTATGCATGCACACACACCCATGTAGAAAAGAGTTAACACTTTTCCTTGTGGGAGTATCACTGGGTGTGTGGTTGTGCAGTATCATTTGTGTCTATCCCTGTTCTTAAATATACATTGAGTCTACTGAAAAGTTTTACATATTTCTGTTCTAATTGTTGCTGGTTTACTTTCATAGATGTAGATACTTAGAGGTGATTTTTCCAGTGGGCAATAGGCTAATTCCTTTTCCAAAACACCTTCCTTTCTCATGCTGCTGTGTTGGGGTTGAGGATAGCAATGGTGCAGGTGCCCACATGTGCAGGTTCACCTGGTGGTGTTCCAGCAGCATCGTTGTGGGTGTGGTCAGCCCCAGGTGCAAGCAATAAAGGGTGCATTGTATGCAGATAATTTAAAAACAATGATAAAACCCAATTAAAATGGTTCTGCTTTTATTATCACTATGTGCCAGAAATTCTAAACAACTTTGGTGATAAAAGCCTTCTTCCATGCAACACTTGTCCTTTTGTGACTGGCTTATTTCACTTAGCGTACTGTCAAGCACATAAAAGCAGAGAGTGGAATGATGGCTGCTGGGGGAGAGGGGAGGGAAAACAGGGAGTGGTGGTTCAATTGGTGTACAGTGTCAGTCATGCAAGATGGATAAATTCTAGAGATCTGCAGTACAATATTGTGCCTATAGTTAACAATACTGTATTGTACACTTAACTTGTTGAAAGGGTAGATCTCATGTTAAGTGTTCTTACCACAATACAAAAACATCTCACCAGGTGATTTTGATTTTGGTGCACATTCAGAACCACTGATCAAAGCAAAAGGTCAGATACAGATGCCTTTGTGATGCCTATATTTTTCAATAAAGTTTTATTTGTAGTTATTACACTTACATTAAACTTTAAATTTCTTAATGGCATATAAATATTTGAAAATTTGGCTATGTATAACACAAATCAATCATTGCCATACAACAGTTTCTACATTTTTTGCAATAATATAAAATAATCATAATGATTCAGATTATATTCCTCAGTTTTGGCATTACTGTAAATACCTAATGCCTAATCCAACAGACTTAACCTTCCCATAAATCAAGTATACTGACACAACTACTCAACACAAAAACCCTCTGAACTTCAGTTTCACTGGACTATTTGCTTACACAAAGAGTTTTAAATCAATATGTTATTCTTATATTGATTAGAATGTTTTTGTTTCTCCAGACATGAAAGCTTCTGAAAGCTTCTATTGTTGGTGAACTCTGTAAATGCACAACGTAGTCTGACATGCTCAAATGAAATATATTAGACTAAGATTAAAATTGTTCCCTGGCACACAGAGGTAAGTAAAAGGAAAATCCTACGGGTCTTGGAAAGAGTCTCTGAAGACCACAGTGTATAATGAGGCTTTCTCTAGTACATGGTGTGAGGGAAGCTGGATTGATATCAGGTCAATTCTGCTAAAGAGCCTGGGCTGAGAAAGCCCTATTGAAACAGCAAAAGACAAGTAGGGGAACAGGACGGTGGAAGCTCAATCTCAGGTGCTGCCCACTACTGGGACCTGCAGATGGACTCCCACTGACGGGAGCCCTCAGAGCTCCAAATGTCTCCAGTATTGGGAGTCTGGAAAGGCTTCTGACTGCTTCTGTGGGTGCAGCAGCTTTCTCTGGTAAGCAGGGCTCAGGAAGGTAGGGCCACCTCTGCCTTGTGGCCACCCTTCCTGTGCAGAGAGGAAGTGGCTATGTAGTGTTGTGGGTTAACTGCTGGTGGAGTGTCTGGGAGGAGCTGGACATCTGAAGGCTGGAGAAATGCTCAATCTTATCTCGAGAGATACCACATCTTTTAGAGACTTCCCATTTTTTAGCCCTCCAGGCACTGAACTGAGTAATAGAATAATTGTAGCCTCATTCCTGGCTCTTGTCTAGACCAGCACAATAGGTCTTAGTACACATTCTGATTATATCACAGAGCCACCTTCTGTTCTGACCCTGAAACCTGATAAATGGATTTCAGTGATTCTAGCATACATGGATGTTGTAGATAAAAAGGCAGAGAGAACTTAATAAGGATACTGATGTGTCCTTCCAGAGAAAGGCTTAATGTAGGGTCTGGCAAGCCAAGTTCAAGGACATCCTACCTGTGCCCATGACCCATGGAGACAAAAGGCTACAAAGCAAAGAATCCAGCATGTATGGCAGGTGGGTTCATGGTGGTGTCTGGGTGTTGGTTTTAGCTCTGTTCAGGCTGTTATAACTGCACATAGCAAAGGAACTAACCTAGTCAGGGATTCAAGAAAATCTTGGAACAAATGACTCCTAAATTGGTATATATGAAAATCATTAATTATGTATCCAGGTTGTTATCCACACAGAGGAAGGGTACTCTGGGTAGAATGAACATCACAGATGAAGACCCAGGTATGAGTCAGCATGGGACACATCTGGGGACCTGCAAGAGGTGGAATATCTCTGGATGGAATGCAGGCAGTTGTGGTAGCCGAAGGAAAAGGGAAGTCTGTGTTAAGAAGGTGGCAGGTATACAAGGCCACATCATGGATGGTGTTGAGAGACTTGCAAACTAAAGTAAACTTGAGACTTTCGCTAGTTAATGGAAAGACATTGATGGGTTTTAAGCTTGAGAGTGTAGCTTGTGGGTAGAAGCAGCTAAGCAAGCTGGCAGGCAGATGACTACTGGATGGTGGTTAAAGGAACCTGTGAGAGGAAGGGATCTGTTAAAGGAAAGGTGGGAGACAGTGCTTGCTGGGCCACAGTGCTATCAGTGAGGTTAGAAAGATTAGTAAAACTTATGGGGAATTTAATACTTAGAAACATGTAGGATGGGGATGTGTGGAAGGAGAGTGTTAGAAAGACAGTGATTACTCCTGCATCTCTGGCTTGGGTATTTGGGTGGGTGGCAGGATCACTGTTGAGAAAAGGAAAAAGATGTAGTATATAGTAAACAACTCAACGTGTTGTTTCCCCCAAGTAAAAAACAAAACAAAACAAAACAAAAAAACCCCCAAACATCCAGAATAAAACCTGGAATATGGGACAAAATCTTATTGAGATTAATTGGATTGGAAATGAAATGTTCAGTCAGGCAACAGCTCAATTGAATTTGGAGATTTAAGCTCCACAAGGAGAAAGGACTTCAGAGTGTTACCTCTGCCACTAGACCTAATACCGTTAGCTCGTCCTGCCTGAACTTTAAAAGCTCATTGGTACGGCGGGAGAGGCCTGGCCACGGCTGTTACTCATTGTAGAGGGGCCGCTGGGCTCAGAGTCCCCAGAATTAGGGAGTCGGGGAAGGGCTTCTCTGGGCACTGATGGTGGGGAAGCTTTTCCCCGTGGTTGGGGTGGGGCCTCCCTTGGCAAGTGTCACCTTGCTCTTCTGGCTGACCTTTTTGTGCAGAGAGCAGCTGGCTGTGCAGTGCTGTGGATAAACTGCTGGCACAGAGGTACAGAGAGGTCTGGTTGATGCTGGTCGAGTCCAGGGTCAGAAGAAAATTCTTCTTTTCTTTCCGGGAGACAGTGTACCCATCAGGGACCTCTCCCTCCTCAACCACCTGAACATTAATTGAGTAGTAAATCAGCTTTAGACCCAGCCCTGGGTCTTGTCGATACCAGTACATAGCTTCGTGGTTCATATTCTGAGAACAAGTCATTGTCAACTTCTTTCTGGTCCCTGTAATGAAGTGTCTTGGGGTCTGGGTCACTTGGGCTTCCATGGGGCCTGTGAGGGAAGGAGACAGAGCTGGAGACAGAGCCAAGGGCCAGCATCAGATGCTGCACGTTAGGAGAGAACTGGAGTTGAGGCCTACGAGCTAAGGCCAAGGGCTGCCCATGTGCTCTGGGACTTACCTGCTCCCAGGAGACAGAGGACCACACAGCCAGGGAGCCAGGAGCCCATGGCAGCATCAGGCAGGTGTCTGCCAGCCCTGGGGCTCTGGTGGATTTCTGTAATGTCTCCACCTCTTCAGCTTCATGGGCCCCAGAGACGTTTTCAGGAGAGAAGCCACTCCCCTTTACTTAGAGGGCTGAAGTGTACAAAGCTGACACTGGCTAATTCAGGCTGGGGACATTTATGATCAGCGTCATTTTCCTTGATCTCTTTGAGGCTGCTTGTCTCTATGTGTGTGGCATGTTTTCATATGAATGCACTCTTGTAAAAAATGTCAAATATTTAGATATTTTGGATCTTTAGGGTACAAATTGGTATAACATATTTGATTATCACTTAGAAATGTGAGAACATGAAGCTCACACTATTATAAAAACTGCATTTTCACATTTTTTGAAGTCATTTCTACTCAGCAGAAAAATTCCAAGTACATTTCTGGCTTTGTCTATCCACCGACATATATTTTTGTCACGACCATTTAGAAGAATCTAAGGTGTGAAAGCTCAGTCAAATTCACACTGTGGATTACTTTACTAGTCAGTACCCAGTTCAGAATCCTAGACACGTGGCTTCTTTGTGCTTTAGCTGATTGGACTCAGTTGGTTTGGTGGAGCTGGCAGCTGCTCTCTTCGAGGATGGTGGTTGGGGCATCTTTCTCCCTTTTTCTCTTCTCTTTCCCTCTCCAGAACAGGCTGGGGAGAAGCAGAAGCAACATGTGTTTGCTTCATACACTCACCTTTTTACCAGCATGCCAGCTTCTTTGCCTACTTTTGGAACATGGGCTTTGCTTTCTTACTGTCCACACATGCACATTTCTGCCCCTGGATACTGCGCTGTAGCCAGGCAGTGTCTTCTCTGCTCTGGATCCACATCACGGGGACTCTGCCTGGAACCAGGAGTGTCATAGCTTCTGTTTCCAGCTCCTCCAGCAGCTGCTCGTGTTGCTCCTTTCTCTGGGTACGTACGTCCTTCCTGCACTGAAGTGACTTTCCTGGGGCTCCCCAGAATATCTTCTCCCTCTGAATACCTCTGAACTTGTCTTTTTTAAAAAAAAATTCTTTCTGTTTATTAAAGTATAATTGTCTAATAAAAATTGTATATATTTATGTTGTACAAAGTGATGTTTTGATATTTGTGTCCCTTTGAGATTTTCTTGTACTTTGTTGGAACCAAAGTTTTCCTGGGAGGGGCAGCAGGGGAGGACACTGCCCCAGCCTTCCTGATTGCTTCCACCCACAGCTAGAGCTTCACAGAGCCCTTCAGCATTCGGCCAAATCATTATCATCTCCAGGCACTAAGAGTGGACCCCTCAGGCCAATTTTCTGGGCTACCCTCAGACCTCAGAGATGACTTTCTGGCCCTTAGTCCCCTTCATGGTGGAGCCCTAACCATTTCCATGCTATGAGAGTGAGAGAGGAATGTTGCTAACATGACATTAACTCTGATTTACAGAGGAATGTTCTCTCTTTTTGTATCTCTGTACCACTCCCTTCTAGAAAAGAGTGTTGGGAGCAAGCTTGGCTCTACCTCAGTCATGGGTATTTCTGTCCTCCTGGCAAATCCCCCATATCCTAGCTATGGGTCCCCATGTTCTTGAGGGACAAAAGCAGTTTTTATTCTTTTTTTTTTTTTTAATTTTATTTTTGGGCTCCCTGTCAGGGAATGAAAGCAAATTTTATTCTTAAAACCTCAGTTCCAGTGAATAATTTCATATTACTTAGTAAATCTCGCCATCCCAAATTTCATCTTCAGAAATCTTTCACACTTTACCTGCATCCACAAAGCTAAGCTTGCTATCTATTGGATATTGGATTTTCCCATGTTCCATAATGGTCCCAATGTTATAGACATGAAAAATTACACTTCAAAGTATTACCAGTTTTTCCCAAGCAACTTTTGATATTAGATTCGCCCAAGATTTAAGAGGTAGCTGATTCTATATTCCTTTCCCTCTACCAGCTAATTCACTTTCCTCAGACATGTGGCTTCTTCTGCCTTATTCCCTTGACTCTGAGGCTTCTTTGGTTTCTTCTTTCCTTCTCTACATCAATCATGGCACTAATATAACGACATTAACCTGAGTCCCCAATATTCTTACATTCAGAGCCAGTTTTTCTACTTTCTCACCCTTTCTTCTTATAATCTTCCATCTGGTCTCTTTTACCCAAAGCCGCTACCCTCAAGAGTTCTGGAAACTAACTCCCCTCCCCTTCTCCGATGTAGAGCAGGCTCTTGTGTTCCTAACAAAGTGACTAGAAAGTAAGCAGAGTCCTCCAGATGACCTGGGGCTCTGAAACATCTCCCTTGATCTTTTTGCATTTTAATGTAAACATTTATTTTATGCTGGTCCATCACTACATCTCTTTCCCTACACTTCTTTGTGTCTTCTGTCTTCCTCCTTTCAGGCACCGTAAATCTTTTGCATCTCTCATCCATCTATCCTGGACAACAGTATCCTGACAAGTATTTATGCCAGCATCTACCCAGTTGAGAAAACATTTCTTAAAAACTCCTGTAAAAGGGGGTTTATTCCTTCATCCCTTTAAATGTATAGTGATATATTTTCTATATGAACATGAGCCCAGGTATAGACTGTAGAATTTTCACCACACTTCAAATTGTATTTCATTTTTGATCAGGGCACTTCAGTTCTGAGAAACTCATTCTACCCTATATATTTTCCTATGATGTGATTAACCTTTGAAAGACCCCAATGAAGAATATTTTTATATCAAGTTTTCTTTTAATTGATGATACCTTATTCAATTTTATCAAAGCTTCTCTCATATCATTATCTGAAATGTGATGTTTATGTTAAGGAATATGTTAGTGCCCTCTAGTGGAATATCACTGTGGTAGTCAGAGTAATGGTCCCCCTTCTTTTAATTGATGATACCTTATTCAATTTTATCAAAGCTTCTCTCATATCATTATCTGAAATGTGATGTTTATATTAAGGAATATGTTAGTGCCCTCTAGTGGAATATCACTGTGGTAGTCAGAGTAATGGTCCCCTAAAGATGTCCAAGTCCTAATCCCAGCAATCTGTGAGTATGTTTAGTTGGATGGCAAATGGGAGATAGGTTGCAGATGCAATTAAGGTAGCTATCAGCTGACCTTGACATAGGGAGAGTATTTTGGGTTATCCAGGTGAGCCCAATCTAATCACATAGGTTATTACTTGTGGAGTATGTTTCCCAGTTGTGTTCAGATGGGGACATGAGTATGGAAAGAAGGTCAGAGAGATGGAACGTTGCTGGCAATGAAGGTGGAGAAAAGGACCCACAAGGCAAGGAATCCAATTCTCTCCTCTCTCTCCTGGAGCTCTCAGAAAAGAATGCAACCTGTCAACACCTTGATTTTAGCCCGGTGAGACCTTCTGACCTACAGAACTGTGAAGTAATAAATACATGTTATTTTGAGCCATTTAGTGTGTGGTAATTTGTATGGCAGCATCAGAAAACCAATACAACGACCAAGACCAAAACTCTTTGGCAAGATGTGGTAAGAGTGATTAGGGTGGGAAAAACAAAGGCAAGGGTAATAACGGGGGTAGGTAATAACTGAGGGATGGGGGGAACTCTGGGGTATCTTGCATGGGGGGGGGCTTGTTCTCTCATTTGGGGTGGGCCCATAGGGTAAGGCCACTGCACACACTGGGTCTGCTAATTTTGTGCAGAGAAGTTGTGGCTGCATTGATAAGCTGCTGGTGCAGAGAGACTTGGATGTCTGGTTACTGCTGGAAGATTCAAGGATCGAGGGAGATAATTCTGTTTTCCTTTTTTTGATAGAAAGACTATACCCATCTAGGACAACTTTTTCAAAGCTGCCAACTTCAGGGGAATAATGGATCGATTCTATCCCCATTCCTGGATCTTAAGAATTCCAGAATATTCTGTCTGGTTTATACTATAAAAACATTGCAGCACAACTTTTTCTGCTTCTCTGACCAGGTATCTCAGGGTCTGTGTTCCTTTGACATTCATGAGGACCCTGGGAGAAAAGTGCAGAAACTGATGGCAAAAACCACTAGCAAACCGATATAAAAGCTGTGAGGAAGGGCCTGTTCCCAGAGCTTGGAAACAGCAGGACATTGGTTTCCCATGTGCTCTCTGAATACATCTGCTCCAAGAGCCAGAGGCCACACACAGATGAGTGTCCCTAAGGCTTCCCTCCAGACCAGCTCTTTTCCTCACAGAGCCTCAGCAAAATAACAGCCTGGGAAAAATTGCTCTTTTCTACTTGTTTCTTTATATTTCTACATCTTTTCGGACAGTTTTGTTCTCCAAATCACATATTCTTTTTTAATGAGTACTATTCTTATGATTAGGCAGACAGATTCTAGAGAAGATGTGAGCTCAAATCCCATCCTGAAAATTATTAGTTCTGTGGATTTGGGCAATTTATTTAGCCCAAATGTGGCTCAATTGCTTTATAAGTAACCTGAGTATGTTTGTAGGGCTGCAATAGCAAAGTGCCTCAGACTGGCTCAAACTGTTCTGGAAGCTCAAAGTCTGATATCAAGGTGTCAGCAGGATTGGTTTCTTCTGAGGCCTCTCTCCTTGGCTGTAAAGGTCTGTCTTCTTTTGTCTTCCCTCTGTGGTTGTCTGTGTCCTAATCTCCTCTTCCCACAAAGACACCAGTCATGTTGGATTAGGGCACAGCCGTATAACCTCATTTTAATTTAGTTACCTCTTTAAAGACCCTATCTCCAAATAAAGTCACATTCGGAGGTACTAAGGGCTTAGGATTTCAATATAAGATTTTTTGAGGGGGTGGGCACAATTCAGCCCATAACAATGGGAATAATAAAAGTACTTTCCTTACAGATTTGTTATGACAATTAAGGAGTTACTATGAATAAAGAGTTAAAACATTGCCAGACATAGCTATGCAAAATATTATCTCTATCATTTCATCTACTATAATACTTTTTTGAGTATTATTTTAGTGCCAGTCTCTGTGTTAAAGTATTCACATACTGTTTCATTGAACCCTCACCCCAGTTC